AACAAATTTAACCGTGATATTCTTATTAATGCCAATAAACTACACATTCTTAACATTAAAATTTTTTCGTGTCATATGCACTTTAAGAAGGATATACCAAATCAATAGAATAATGTAGTGGAGAAAAATATAAATACTTTTGTTTCAATTCCCTAAAATTCCAGGAAGTAATTAATATATTCTGTATCAACTTTCTGCCTAATACATATTTCTTGGTATCCACTATAATGGGATGTTTGCATGATTGTATTATTGACCTCTACTACCTGAAAAGACTCCCTTTCTTTTGCTCAGTTAATTAGCACCAAATCAAATTACTATTCTCATGAGGAAATAGAAATTTGAATAAGAAAGAAAATTCATGAAACATTATGGTAGAATGGTAGTGAGGATTTAAATGACAAAAATAACAAACATCCTGTTCGATGGCGTATAAGATGTCTGTGTCCAGCTAATAAATGGCCAAAGTTCAATAATTATCCACTTGAAAAATCACAAAAAGTTGTTCAAAACAATTTATTAAAATACCATCGCTAACCATATAAAAAAATTTCATATTCTTGTAAAATAGTTCTAGACTTGTATTACTTTTAATACAGGATAAGTGCTTGCGCGCGTCAGCCATATTTTCTAACTTCCTCATTTCTWTGAAATCATATATCATCTTGGAACTACTCATTTACATATTTCAGTGTAATCTATATAAAAGTATTACGTGCTTGCGTGATAAATTTGCGATAAACCGGGTATCGTTAAATACTTTCGCCATAAATTTAACAGCAAAATACATCTCTTACAAATTAAACATTTCTCTCTCAAACATAATAAATTTATCCTATTCTAGGTTAACTTTTTGGGATTGTCTCCTCTACGCGTATATAAGCTTACCTAATGGAAAACAAGTTCACGCATAAACTAACATTTCAATATAAAATTCTCGATAAAAAAATAGTTCAATACGTAATTCTGAAGGTGATATAATTTCTATGATACAACAGGTCATTCTTGGATCTATCAAAATTGTTTTTGAAAGAGAAATATTGAATTATAATTCGTGAAATATGAAGTAATTTAGAAAGGCGCTACCCAACATTAATATAATASAGTCGTGAAGTCATGCACACGTACGACAAGTACAAAGGTCTTCAACTAGCTAGAATTATAAAAATATTATGAATCTTTTTTCGGTAGATAAATTCTTTGTAATCTGATTTATTTTTAGTGTTTGTCCTACATAACATTTATCCGTAGATCTTATTCAGTTTTTAGTAAATAGAGTCTCTAGTCGTTCCTTGTTTACGTAGAAGTCTGACGTTGAACAAAGCGCCGTCAAAAAAACCCTAAAATTTATCCTTTAGACTTTCTTATGAAACAAATCTTTGAAATATAGCATTAGTAAGAAATGCGTGATGTGAATTAGAGAGATTGGATTAAGAAGAATAGTTTTACTCACAGTTTTAGGTCCACTACAATACTTTGAATGATTTGACTCGTGCGTGTCCCTCTAGTCTGTGCGTGATAAGCAGCATGGTTTTGTACCGTCACGTGACCATACGTTTGTTGAACTTTGATCCAGTTCGTGCTGTACCAAATTAAAAAAAAATTTCTGGTCACGACTAATAAACAAAACAAAACCCCTAGGTTACTGATTAGTTAACTTCAACCTTATTATAAAGTATTGTTTTTTCATTAATACAAAATTGAATTTCCTTACAAGTGAAGACTTAAAAAAAAATTGCGACAATTTTTATTCATCTAAATTCAAAATCTTTATCCGAAACATAAATAAACTGATATTATGCGTTTTGAATGAAAAAATATAGCATTATTTCTCATTATCACGTATTATAAACGTTTTTTATTTATGAGTCAAAAATTAATTTCCGGTTCCGGTTTTGATCTCGTTTTCACGCATACGAGAGGAGGTTGGGAACGAACGCCATTTTGAGCGGCAGATTTGGTTTTTGTTTTTCAAAGTTGTTGGAATTTGTGCCTCAAAAATCAAAGAAAATGAGACTTTTAARCAGTATTACGAGTAAGTAGAGCTTTAATGATGTGTCTCTTACTTTCCTAGGCTATTACTTAATGCCAAAATAGCTAAAAATTTGGCCGAATTTTGGTCCAAGAAGAGGAATGATGCCTTTTGAGTAATGGCGGCGATGACTTCAACAACAACAACAGCAGTATTTGCTTTTCCAGGGATTCCAGGACTTTAGCATTCACAAGACAAAAAAATATATAAAATATAAATCTAAAAGATCTTAAAGGAGGACTGTATAATGTTTTTATCTTATGATCACAGGCTTGTATTTTGATTTGTGAAGTTCGAAAACCAAACATGGCTTGCATCCAACCTCCAACAAACAACAGGAAGCCTTTACCAGTGATCTCGGCGTTTTTTCCTAATGCTAACAAAGAAGAGCAGAAATCTGAAAAACTTCCTGGATATACAAAGTAAGAATTCTTGTTTTATCGTGTTCTTGATGATAACAATAATTTTAACAGGCAGAGGGTTATTTCCATGGAAAAATTATTTCAACATCTTCTAATCCGTCTGTCATTTTTGCTATCTAGAGATAACAGTGAGAAAGTAGTGATTCAACCTTTTCATTTTCCTCCAACAAAGCAAATCTGGTGGTAAGATATATATTTAATCAAAATTAATTTTAGGGCCTAAAAAATGGATGGTTAGTTGGCGGTCTTGATCACTGGCCAAATTAATTTTAGCACAACCATACTTCATTTCTGGCTCAGTGTTACTCGTCAAAATGACAGGCCTTGAAATGATTTATCCAGGCAAGTTCCATTCCTGGCCAGACATCGTTGAATGACCAATTATTACTTTAAGCTCTGTAAATTCCTAATGTACATAGGCATACTCCTAAATTTATTATTCTTTTGTCTAATTGATCACATTCTGTTTGATTGTCTTTGCCATTACGCAGTCAAAGGTCAAGGCTCTTGTGGAACTATGGGGGAGGGGGGGTTAGAGCATGTCTGCAGTTTTCTCAATCATTTTCAAATTCTAGGGACAGAAAACCCCAAGGAACTTCAGAACTCTTACATCTGTCTTCTAGGAGGTAAGTAAATATTCCCAGCACGAAACACATTCATATATATGACACTCTTATATTTATACTATCCGTATATTGATACTAGGAATTTCCGGTTGCTGGTGAATGAGAAGACGATAAGACTAGCTATCAAACACTTTAACCAATCATCATCTCCTTATGAATGTTTCCTCATTGGATCTATCTCTATTGACTCAAGTAAGTTGTGAACACTATATTGAACACTATAGTACTACATGTAACACAGGAAGCCCAAAATATCAATTGTAATAGTCAAGCGTATCATGGGCAAATTGAGCCAAAAATAAATCAAATAAAGCATTTTGCCTGTAATTCCCTTCTTCTCATGGCCACTTGAGATACTTTCGACAGGGATTACATCGTTGAATCGTTCAACTGAAAATTTTGCAATAGCTATGCTTGGGTTACCTGTGGTAATGCTGTGACAAAATGGTTAGCTTAGCTACTTATTAATAATATCTTTATCCTCAGGGGAAGAAGCAGTTGATATCAATGTTGATAGGTTTGATCCAGGAAGAGACATGATAGAAAAGAAAGGTAAGATCTTATTATTACATGTAGTCTGTAACAAGTTAGTGCTAGTAACAAGTCTTCTAGGCTTCTCTAGGGTCGTATTACTCACAGGTAAATGGGTATTAGATTACCATGCTCCCGGATGAGGTATGTGTATTAGATAGACCTTTTCTTAATATTGTAATTGGATGTCCTTAGGTGGAACAAAGAGAAAGATACCAACAACAGTTGTTCCAGGAGACCAGATAGTACCTTTAACTGTAAGTGAGATATATGATTTATTAAATCAAAAGTATATTGACAGATAAAGTAGGTCATTTTTTATTCACTGTAGCTAATCAAGGGGTTATCAGGAGCAGATAACTCAACAACCCATTCAAAAAAGGAATTCCAAAGGACATTAGAAGTAAGTAAAATATTTGAGAAATAGAAAACGTGTTTGTGCTGTGTGCAGTTATGAAGCACGCAGGATTGGCAGAACATGAGAGAAGTGTTAGGGGAAGCATGACACGTAGCGAGTGCTTCTCAACACTTCTTGAGTGTTCAGCCAATCCCCAAGTGCTTTATGACTCCACAGAGCGCAAGATTTATAACAGTTATTTTATAAAGGATAGTAGCTATACCTTGTCTGATAATAGTGTTGGAATTATCACTTGTGTTAGGCTGATACAAAGTATGAATAAAAATGCTCTGATTGTACTTACATGTATGCATCTATCAAATAATATTGATAATTTTCTTGAAATTAATTCTTTCCTAAATACAGATACTTCACAGTAGAATCTCAGGACAAGATACGCTAAATTTATCCAACTTTCTAAGCCTTAAAGCAACCTGCCATGCTCATGTTGATGATGATGAGATGATACTGAATCTACACTGTAAGTGACTCACTGACAGATTGATGTTTTAACCTAAGAGTATAAACTACGGCCTTACTTGATTAGCATTAATTTGTAGCTTTGGAAATCATATGGTCATTAGCCCAGCCCAGGCTTCATCAAACTCTAAATCTAAAGTCAGAGCTCTTATGGCTCATCTTTCTCTCAACCTGCTCCTRCCTAAGTTGTTGATAAGGTTAATGATTTTAATATTAGAGTGATTAATTATTTGGCTCATGAAACAGCTAACAGTCTGCAGTAAAATGAAAGAAAACAATGGAATCAGTGTCTGCTACAGTGTATAAAGTTATATGTATTATTTTAACTATTTTTTCACGGGTCAAGTAATAGACCCCTTTAACATACTAATTTTTTTTTTCTCGTAGTTGGTGCAGTTTCCATAGTTACCAGTGTTGTAGCTACACCAGTTAGTCCAGTGCCTATCATACCCACGGCTTTAGCTAGGAATCTTACTGGACCATTAAAGCTGAGTAATGTTCAAGGAACACCTAAATGCGGGTACTGTATGGTATATCATAATCATCCACTTGTAACTATTGCATTGACAGTAGGAGCCTACTAAGACTGACAGGGAGAAAACCTAATTTTTTCTTGAATTTTAAATTTATTATCTTCTAGGTTTCTTACTATGGATCACACAAGGAAACTTCTGCTCCTTCTGGAATCAGATCCCAAGGCATACTCTTTACCCCTTATTGGAGTGTGAGTCCCAATTGAGTGATTTGACTTTTATCTTCCTTAACTGTAGTTTAAGTTTAGTAATTTTGGGAATCAAGGGTGGTGTAGCAGTAGTGAACTATGCTCTCTCCTCTGGGATCTTGGAATCGATTTCTAGACTCCGCATCATGTGAGTAGAGTTTGTTAGGTCTCTCCCTTGATTCAAAGAAACTTCTCCAGGTTCCCAAATTTTCCTTCCTTGATATTTTTTTGTGTTCAATCCTCAGGTGGGTTAGTGGTCCATTCACCATACATCATCCTTACATCTGGGCCTGCTGTGTGAGGTTTCTGCATTCTACAGTGATTCAAGAAAGGTATACAAATGCCTGAAGAACTTCAAAGTTTTTGGGAGGGAGGGGTTGAGGATTGATCCTCTGACCCCACCCATGTAACCTGACCCCACCCATGTAACCTGACCCCACCCATGTAACCTGACCCCACCCAAGTAACCTTGGTCCAACCTATGTAACCTGACCCCACCCATGTAACCTGACCCCACCAATTTAACTTTGGCCCCCACCCATAACCTGACCCTACCTATAACTTGATGCCACCTATGTAACTTTGGGTCCCTGTGATATACTCACCTGATGGTGTCTGGAATTAGGCATTTCTTTTCTCACACAGGGTCTTGGCATCACCCAATACATTTCTACTTGTTCATTATTCTCCTGCGCAAACCAATCCCATATTCTGGGAATGCTCACCACAGGTACAGTAATTATGTAAATAATCCATTTTTATTGCTTTATGCCCTACCACAATTTGCCATTCATAAATATTATAAATAGCCTAAAAGTTCAAGGTAATGATTATTCACTATTAATATATTCTACAGGTTCAGTTAGACAAAGGGTTGTTTGAGCTATACAGCTCTTATGAAAACTTGCACTTGGATGAGGTATAGTACTAAAGCCATTCTTTTTAACCTAATCTAATGTCAATGTAACAACTTTTAGTCCAATAGACTATTCATTGATCATTGGCAGGTCTGATGGTTGTTTATAATACTGTACTATTCTCTTCCAGATTTCATCCCCCAAGTACACAGAGCCCCTGTGTTTTGAGCTTATTTCTGCTGGTGATACAATGAACAGAGCTGTCTTCAACCAGGCTGTCTCTTCTTGGACTAAAGAGAATGAAAACCATACAAAGTAAGTCAGCTGGAATACTGTCAATTCAAGTATTGAATCGGAATCAAAAGTGGTGTAGTGTTGGGCTCCTGTTGTGGTGTGGTCATTTTTTGTTATTGTTCAACAGTATTAGTCTTGTTTTGTTCATATGCCTTTGAAGTTTTAATGTAAGATGAGATAGCACCATTTGTAATTTCTAATTGTTTTCCAGTGAAAATCCTGCTTCTTTGGAGAGTAAAGCCAGCATTTCCAACAACATTGTTAACCTAGAGCCACGACCATCACCATTACCTCACCCACAAACAACACAGGTATGTATCTATGTTTGTTCCTTGGACAGAAGGTAGGAGAGTGCAGTGAAAGCCATGTGTTGGTATTTGTCAATTTGGTCCTGGTATTAATTTCTTTATATCTGATATGTTTATGCTGTAGGAAATGGGAAGATCTCATTATACGTTTGCTGTTTACCTGATTCCTTGAAGGAATTCTGTTCAGTATTTGAGATGATAATTTAAGTTTAATTAAGCAGCCGTAATTTTTTTCTTTCTTTTTTTTCTTTCTTTTTTTTTTGTTTTTGTAGAGCCCTCTTCTCCTGCCAACAGTACCAGAAGTATCTCTTTCTTTGAGCTTTGATGAATCCACTTTCTCGGATCACAATCCACACTTTAATGGGAGAAATCAAGACAGACAAGTTTTTTCTATTGAAAAGCAACCAATATTTCCTGGAAGAGATGGCAGAAGGATTCTACCCTTGAAGAAAGACGATCAAGTTATCTTAAGAAGAAATCCCAATAAACAAGACCAAGAAAACAGAGGTGACCCAAGACATGTTGGAAAGCAAGTCTTGATTGATAGAACACCAGTAAGCTCTCCTCAGAGGGAGCCATTGAGACCGATAACTGGTCAAGTAAACCATCTGCAAAATCCTGCTGTACGAGTTCCTGGAATTGACAATGATGTGCCAGGTCCCAAAGGACACGTGGTACCAGTTGGTAAGGGGCACGCGCAGAATAGGGCGGTTAACCGAGGTCATCCTAAATCCTCTTGGAATGCACCTAAAGCAAAGGGCCCTCCTAAGAAGGTATCGAGAGATGGTGCCATTTATGGCAGAGGAAGAGGATCTACCATAAGAACAAGAGAGAGTGAATCAACAAGTCTGAAGTATGAAGTCAAAGAGATGCAAGATGTTGGTAATGTTGAAGCGCAAGGGAAATCTGTGATGACATCTCATGAAGAAGGAAGGGTCCCTTTGGTGGGTATACAAGATCAAAACTACCCAAAAAAGGATAAGACGCCACCCAGAAGTAACAGAAGTGAGGGTCATAATTCCATAGAGCGAAATGGCAATGCAAACAACGTGCAAATAACATACGGAAGAAATATTGATCCCAGAGTTGAAGAACAGCATGCATCTAATAATAACAGCAATAGAGTACCAGGTATAGAAGATACAAGAATGCCCTATCTAGTAGAATCCAGACAAGAGAATCATCATCATCATTATCCTAGTGATGCTGGCATTGACGATAATGAAGAATCGAAAAGGCTCACAAACCCATCCCAAATGCCTCAAATAAATGCAAGGACTTTTCATCAGCATCAACCAAATGATCAAGGCATCAATAGTAAACACAATGAATCAGGGATGGAAAATTCCGCGTTCTGTGATTCAGGTGTTGGAAACTCTACAAGAGATACGACACAACCTGATGAAGACGACGATGAAGGAGGTATTTCCAACCAAGATGCTGGTTCATCTTGCGGGAAGAAGGATGTTGTGAACGAGACGAGGCGGGATCCTTATGATTTGATCATGAGACAACAACAGCAACTCAAGGAACTACAGCACCAGGTAATCACCCAATTGCATATTTAAAATTCAACACGTGCAAACGAAGAATCGAACACCTTCATTAATAGGAAATAAAAAGACTCTACTGCTTTCAGTTATCAAACATTGTTTCAAAGACTTGACATTTTGAACCAATCAAAAGGCAATAAATCACACTTTTCAACATATTACCTTAATCTGTATACCATTAGGATGTCACGCTACACTTACACGAACGCTCGAACTTCACATAAGCCGAACCTAATCATATCAAGCCGGATAACCGCCTTATTACCCATTCTTTGTTTGCACGTTACGTTGTCGCGGCCAGGTTGGTACCATTTAACAAAAGATTTCTCATTAGCATCCATTGTTAACGGTACCACAATGGCCGCCATGTTTTTGTCTTTTAACTCTCTTGGGAATGCTTGCAACCCATCAATTGTGTTCAATGCGTACGGCTCAAGGTCATGGTCTGTTGTAATGACAGTCTTCTTTACTATTCCAGATAAACCTGTTACTTCTACAGCAATCTCTAACACAGAATTCCCCAGTTGGTATCCCAACACCACCCCCTACACCAGTATCACCAGACAATCCATGTGTGCTGTCATCTCCTGTGAGACCACGTGATACCATGGTTACCATGGGAACCAATACAGGGGCGAGTCTCTTGATTGGTTCTCCTGTGTTGGGGCGTGGTAAGATATCGGTGGGTACTTCTCCTATGAGGGAGGTCGGAAGGAATGAAGAAAAGCGACGCAGACTAAGGTAATAACAATAGGAAATAAGTCTTTCCTTCTATTCCGTTCACTGGAGATTCTTGCAGCTATGCGCTTACATTTATACGTGGGGTATGATCAGAATTATTACTCTAACTCATCATCATCATCAACATCATCGACATCATCGTCAACCTTATCATCACCATCATTATCATCGTTTTAAAGAATCTAACTTATGTTGTGGCCTAACTCTTTCAAGGTCTCAGAAACGTTCTCCCTCCTCCTCATCGAAAACCACTTCTGGAAGCCCTTCCCTGACAAGCACGAGTCAATCATCAAACCATCACCAGCCTGACGGTACACTCCCTAGAGAGTCCACACCATCCTCTAGAGAATCCCTAGATGGTACAATAGACGATGATGAACTGGACGAGAAGGGTTTAGTGCTCGAGAGGCTGGACGAGACGAATATCACGCTGGCTTCTTCTATACACGGGGTGGATATATGTGAGTTTGTGGGCAGCCCTGAGTCTACTAGAGGACAGCGAAGAAGCAGTGATTCCAGCCCAGTACTAGGTATTAAACAATAAATATTTACTTTAAACTATTTATATATATATACAAAATATCAGAGTTATAGCACTTAGATATAAAAGGATTTATATATTTTTACGCACTCCTAATCCGAGAAACTTGACAGGCAAGCAAGCATCCTACAGAATGAGAATATGCACATTTATTATATGACCGTGAATCTTAGAGCCTGGACACTAGCAAATCGAGCAATCTGATTGGATAGATCGCATCGCGGACTGGTCTAGATTCTCCGGTATTAACCGGTCCGATCGCATATTAATCTTACGGCGAAAACATTTTGCCCTTTTCAATGAAAAGTGGTCATATAATAAAACTCTTATCAACCGATCTTGGTCGGTCTGTACGGGATAATCTTGACCTCGGTCTGTACATTCCGATCTCGGTCAAGATTATCCCGTACAGACCGACCAAGCTCRGTCAATAAGATCTAAGTATGGTTTGAAATTCCCTAAAATTTATTGGCATAATATTTTGCAAACTTGAATAAATTGTCTAAAATATAATATTTTTTTCATTTATTATTCGAATTTATTCAGGTTAATTATCGATCTTTGTGATTTATTTTTACTCTCACTTCTGCAGGAGAGAGTGCGAGCATGATGATGCAACAACAAGACGAACAACAACACCAACAACAACGAGGCATAGAAACCCCAGATGAAGACCATCGATTCGAAAGTCTACTGTACAAGAACGAAAAGTTATTCTACGACAACCTATTGGTAAGTGACGTCATATAGACTATGTCACGTGACTATTAGTATATCACCAGGCAATTCTAATTTTTAGCTTCCCATACCCGATTTTTAATGCTCACATGTTTATTAGTTCAAGGTGAATCAACTTCTCTGTGAGAATGTTGGCAAATCAGAAGAAACACCCAACACTTCCCATGATGCAACACAGTCGAGTAACCAACAGGAAGCAAAGAACGAAGAAAACGTCATTCATGAACCAACACGACAAGAAGTGTTGATGGCAACTGTTAAGGAACTGGAGAGAATGAAAGAAAGGGATGAAGCTGACGGTCATGATGATGAAAAGTTAGTATCGCAATTTTATATATCTATGGGTACGGTATGGGGGGGGGGGGGAGGGGGATAGGTGATAGGGAGGGGAGTCGGTAAGTTTTTTCGATTTTTGCTATTTTAAAAAAAAACTAGTGACAAAAAGTTACGTCGTTTCGATGACATCTCGTCATCTTTATCAAGTAAAGTAAAAAGAGTGAACTTGCTTTTACTTGATAATGATGACAAGATGTCATCGAAACGTCATAACTTTTTGTCACTGGTTTTTCTTATAAATCATTTTTATAAGAATTCTATATTTCTATATTAGCCTCATAAAATTGTTTGCTTTGACAGAACTAAGGCAGAAAATGAATATCAAAAATATAACGAGCCCAGGTTCCGGTCGTCATTGGTTGGTATCCTTCAAGACCATCCACACATCAACTACACCTCCATGACAGTCGATGAAACACTAGACGAGACAATCCTTGATACAGAAACACTTGCTTTGAAATACCTCAACCAAGAACAAATCCAGGAGTATCTTCAGTTATCTAGTAATCGTCATGGCAACCAAGGGCGTGGTCCAACGCGTGCGCCCAACAATATTGGTGGTTTTAATAACGGACGGCTTATTAATGATGTAGACTGTACCTGGAATAATTTGTCAATGGCCACTCAAGATTATCTTCAAAGGTATAACCTCGTGGGTTGCAAAAAAACTACCAATCCCACGAGGAATGGGGATGGTCACGTGATGGGTACCCAAGCCCCTAAGCCGAGGGATGGGGATTGTCATGGGAGTAGTACCCAGGCGGCTGAGCTGAGTAGGGACGGAAGTGTTGCCTCGATCCAATGCAGTGCTCCACCTTCAACACCTGAACCAAGACAGACTGAAACTAGAATACTAGATATACAACGATTAAGAAACTTACCAAAGCTATTGTAGAGTAGAAAATTGGTCAAAAACCCGACTGTTTAGTATTTTTCACATCTAATCTACCTCCATTTTTTCGGTATTTGTAATACCAGGAATGCGTGTTAGGTGGATTATTTTACCATCACGAGACCTTGCGTACCTTCACGAAATTTCGCGCAACCTACGTGAGATCCCACGCAGATATTTACCAGGTTTCGCGCCGCAACAATGAGATTCTAGTAACCTTTTGATCTCATGCACTTTACGAGATTTGCGTAATTTTCGCGAGTTCTCGCACACTCTTACCCAACATCTCGCTAAACCTCCACGTAAACTATAATACCCTTTAAGAAACTTTCAAGATTTCGCGCAAACCATCACGAGTCTTGAGCAAGATTCAGAATACTACTATACGAGATGTCGTGTAATGTATAACGCTAACGAGATCTCGTGCTTATCCTCGAGATATCTTCAGCAGGGAAAACACAAGTGCACAGCATTTGAGGTTATCTTATCCATCAGAAATATCAAATAACATYGATTCTTAACAATAAGAGATCAAATAAATCAGCTTCCGTTAAACTAATCTCGTTTAATCTGGTTCTCGCTTTTAGCAACAAGTTTGTCGGGAAAATAAAACGGCTTAATTAAGGGCAAACGTGTTAAAAAAAACAATTTATAAACAACTGAAGGACAACATTTAATTTTATTTCTTGATATTCAGCTTCGAAAGAAACTGTCTTCAGTATATGAATTAAATACATTCTTTGTCAAAAATAAAATATTGAAAATACAATGCGCGCAGATTGGTTGTTTCCTGCGGGAAAACTTACTAAGTTATTTCGCTGTAAATCTTTATTCAGCTAAAATTCTTAAATAGATCTAAAATAGGAAAATTTTATCATAGAGCGCAATTATAATTTGCGTGCTATTCATCATTAAAAGTATCTCAAAACTGCTATACATTGGTATTAAAGAAAAACGGAATAAGCGTATTCATACCGCTCTTTCGAGATTATCTTGTTAGCCTTCCTCGGTTCATCTACCCGCATACGTTATACTGCTATTTAAAAAAAAGGTTGATGAAGGTTTTGTTACAWGTTGTTTACCAAGCTTCAAATGATTGTGGAGCAATTTAAATGTGCGCACAAAAGAAAATATACCCGAAAAACCTGCAAACAAAATTTGGTGAGATTCCATAGACCAAATTCAAAACTCGCACCGATGTGAGGCTTAAGTTGTGAACGAAGGGATCTGGCGTGACTCAAAGTAATCTGGCGTGATTCAAAAGTCACGAATCACGCCAGATTCCTTTGTTCACAACTTAAGCCTCACATATGTACGAGTTTTGAMTTTGGTCTATGGAAGCTGATGGCATTCATATAGCCCATAGTGCAATTCGGGTTCGGTATGCAGTATTGAACAAAACCTTTACCAACCTTTAATGAAATAGCTTTATATTCCAATAATGACATTACGAAACACGATATGTCAATTTTACAATCGTTAGAGCTCAACATTTGCTAAGCTGATTTGATATTAAACACAAAACAACCTTCATTAGTCTCTTCAAATATTATTCAAAATTTTGTACTACAAAAGTAATACCTAAGAGAAGTCAATGCTTCAACGTTATTTTAATATAAAGGCAAGAATGGGTGCTGGAGACGAAATTGTTACACATATGGTCATAGGTCGCCATGTTGGATGATAATACATAATTCAAGCTGGTCCTCCAGCATGGCGGAAATAGCCTAATCAGTATATGCGGAACAGCACAACATCTTTCGCAGACTCATTACGCAACCATTAGCCAAAAACTACTTACAATACTAGACCCACTTTTAAAATTTTGGGTAAAATGGGTGCTAATGATGCCAATGAACTTTAAATATTAAGATCGTGGAGGCCCATTCGAGTGCAGTTGGTCCAACTTGTCTCAGTTAAAGCTCCATAGGTGTTGGTGTGTCGTCTTTCACAACATCTTTAAGGTACAACTTTTTTGCCTGTTCACACACCTTTTGACAGAAACTCTTAAGACGTACGTCTTCGTTGTCATCTTGGGATATTTTCGTTATGATTTCTTTGATCCCGTCAGATATGAGCAGCGGGATGTAGCGAGCAGCTGAAAAAATATACAAAATGTTCAAGGAAAACGATTGGCGACAATTTCGATGACAATTGCATGAGCATCAATGCTGGACAAGTAGGACTTACGGTTCTTAGTGCAGACATGGTGGATGCCCCAGGTAGCCCATAGCCGTATAGCTGTAATATTGGATTTGAGCAAAGGTACGAACGGTGTAAACGATCTGTTGGGGAAAATATTAACACATTACATACGAGATGGACTCTTATAAGGCTTTCTCTCTCAACCAATCAAAAAGAAACATGAAAAAACATAAATCATATGCCTTCAAAAGTCTATAAGAATACTGGGGAGAGCGAACATACGACGAGCATGGTGGAGAAAATAATGACAAATGTTTTACCTGTAGGCGACCATTTCTTCTGTTGGGGTCTCCCAGCTGAGTACTGCCTTTTCCTTGAAGTGAAATAAATTACCGTCAGAAATACTGCAACTTACTATTCTCATTCAATGTTCTCTGCCTTCTCTTATCACAGGAAAGAGACCCTTGCTATAAATATACATTCACAGGAGCGTATCTAAGGCGAGATGCCTATGAATGCGCCTTCCTTACAGGGATTTTCTTAAGATGCGGAAAAAAGCAATTCTGAATTCTGAAATTGTAATATTGATCCCTGATTTGATTCTGGGATGAATCACACCAAACTCAGAATTCCAGATCCGTCCGCTCCTGCTCATTGGTTTGTGATGTCTTGGGCTTTTTGTTAAGTAACAGTAACTTCGATACATTTTCAGTGGCGCGGGGCTGCCTATGTAAGGGGTACCACACCGGCGTAGCTAGCATTCTTACCATCTTCCTAATAATCTGGGATTTATTAGGAGTCACTGACAGGTGTGGTTCCCAGGCCAGCGCGATATTTGACAATATTCCACCCGCAAAGTAGCACACTTGTATCTCAGTTCTGTCCAATAAATCACTGGAACAACAAGCAAGATCATGGTGGTTAGAGAGGAAAGGCAAAGAAATAGCTTCTATTTGGATTTTTTTTTAAATTCCAAATTAAAAACAGATTCAATACAAAGGTGTCAGATGAGTTAACTAAGCTCTCTTTAGAGTGTGCGCCAACATTTACGATAAAATGACATTTCACATCGTTATAAGCCAACTATATCACAAAATTATTTATCAGTTTTCTACAAGATCTTTTTGCAGTTTTACCTTAATAAGCCTACACATTCGTCTGTCAACAGATGAGGACGAAGAAAGTCTACCTCGGCTACATTATTCTAGTGAGGATGAAAGAAAAAAACATTAAGAATTGGATAGGAATTAAATTTTTCTCCAGGAAAGTGTTGCGCAAGGCATTTTCCCCTTGCAGCCCGCAACGCAATGAATGCAACCGCAAGAAAAATTTAAATAGAAAAATGCGCGTGAGTTATTACGACTCGAATGTTGAGCGCCTTGGCACAGGCATGATCTACTCTTGCGCGCGAAAATTTTAGAAACACTCATTCAATTTTGTGAATGTAGGTAATGTTGTGAACAACCTTGCAAGATACGAACTAAGAATTTTAGCGTAGCAATCATCGTGCTAACGAAATTCAATAAAAACAAATCACAAACATTTTTTACCAGGGTCCCAAGGACTTTTTTCACGATAACATTTTCTGTCCCGAATTCCTGAAAGATAAAGAAAACGGTCTCATAGTTGATGTATAAGAATCCCTGTGGTCTGTTACTAACAAGCATATCTGATTTTACCTTTAACACTTGAATGAATAACTTCAATCCCTGGCCATCAACAAATAGCTGACATGTGCATTGGGCGTCATCTGTACAATTAAAAAATCACTACCCTTAGAACAGTTATAGAAAGTAGGATGGTGCGCTGTTATTGCCACACATCTCGAGAACGTGGGTTCGATTCATCGTATGTGAGTAGAGCTGCATTTTGATTCTCTCCTGTGCTTCGAGGGTTTTTCTCCGGGTTTTCTGATTTTCCTCCCTCCGCAAAAATTAGCTTATAATTACAATTTGATCATAGATTGATGGCCACAGGTTYGTTAGGCGCTGACTATTAAGAGCCATCCTCATAAAAACAATTTATTTATTTTATTTCGTATTCCTTATTCTTATGCTTTTATGACTTTATCCACTTCCATATTGCAAAAAATAAATCTACAGTTAGTTAAAATCAATATCAAATTTACAGTAAAGCAGCCATTCCAGAACATATTTTTCTATCTATTTTATTAACCGAGATCAAATACATTGATATTTACCAGTGAGATTCCACAGGACGCTCAGCGTCAGACTGAGAACGTAGTCAGATCTTTGGGATTCGACCTTGTCTTTGACAATATTGAGAAGTGTCTGAGTTAGAAGTAGAAAATAAATGTGTTACATATCTGTAAAGAAAGCGAAGGGAAATTTCAAATGGATGAAAGGGAAGAATAAAAAAGAAGCAAAATGAAGCAAAGAAAGAATAGAAAATGAGAAAACAATGAGAAATAAAGAAAAGCAAAGAAAAATGGTGAAGAAAAGAAGAAGCAAAACAAGAAACGAAAATAAAATGCAGGAGGAAAAAACGAAGTAAAGAAAAATTAAAAATTATCAAGAAAAAGAAAGGAAATCCATGGAAAAATTCATAAAGGAAAGAAAGAAAACAAATTATAAGAAAATTAATTAAGTCATACCTTGAAATGTCTGTCCGTACCTAAAGCTATAGTCTCATAATTAGATATCTGTAAGCATAATAATCAGTGATTAGTCCTTGAGCCCAATTAGACTATGAGTCAATAGGTAATAGTTTTAGTCAAAACCAACAAGTCAGTCAAATGTATAGTGATGAAAACAAGTTTTGAATTACAAAGTTATATTTAATGTTTTGGTTTTCAAAGCAGGCACTTTTCCCTAATAACATATAGCCTAGTAGTAGCTCATCCAATCAGAATGCAGCATTGATGATAGACCGCTAGTTGGTTTTGACTAATGATGAATAGTATTAGACATCACATTACAAGGAAAATATCACATTACCTTAGCAGTGAGTACTGCACAGATCTTTGTCGCCAGCCTCACAATGTTCAGATCGTTGATGAACTGGCATAGGGCATCCATGGCCGACATACAGGCTTCATAGTAATCAAATTTCTAACAATATTTAATCAACAGTGTTTAAGGTTATATGTCCAAAGTTAGATCTAGACCGCATATTCAGCTTTTAGTTTGGGGGTAGCCAGGGGTGGTGGTGGGGTGATGGTGGGTGAGATGGGAGGAAGGTAGTAAACAGGGTAGAGTTTTTACTTACGGCATATCTTAGCATGAGTGGTGAATCCAGTATCAGTAGGCAATTTCTTATAAGCTATAAATACAAAATTAATATTCATTAATAATTTTTAAGAGGGGGTGGGCTATGAAGGTATGGAGAGAAAGGTTATCGAAAATTTTGAAATAAAGTAATGGGAGTTGGAGGTGTTATATCACAACTACAATTCAATGAAACTACGAGTCGGAGTACAGTGTATGTTGATCAACTCTTGCAGTGCATATTACCTCATGTTTGTTAGTGAAGCTTGACATTGCTTTAAGTACAAGACTGGCAATCTTCCTAAAAATCAATTGAAAACCTTTATCAAAAGTCAATTAAAATGTCAAAAGTAATTCAGAAAACTGAAAGTTTTGGCATATCTTTGACAACTTTTTAGATTTTTGACTTCTCCTCATTAACAAATTCATGGACTGAAGTGATGCCTGGAAACACACCATGTCTGAAGTTGACTGGGTTGGTAAAACTTGATAATCCCTATTTTAAATACTATTAAAATCATATTTGCACATAGCAATTTAAAGCACAGGGGTAGCACTCTTACCCTAGTATAGTTGGGTGAAGATCATATTGGTTTTTTGCACTCCTTGTCAAATTAAATATACATGCCCTGTGAAAAGAAATAATTTATAATCATTGGTACCATTATCAGACATGCAGCTGCTGTAAATAACTGTCATCGAATTTTATTTAAATCATCTTTCCAGCACTATTACCTTAAATTAATGAGAACAGATCATTGAAGCAGTTGGAGTACTAAATACCTTTTTTCTTAGTAAAAACCTGTTCATTTTGATAATTTTTTATTAGCATAGGAGTTTACTCACGTTGATGCCATCTGCATTCTCAGATCCTGTGGGTGCATCTCCATCGGAGGCAAAACATACTGCACAAAATTAATAAATTTACATATTTACTATTATTAATATTAATCACCTGATATGTCCTATACTAGGAATYGATACATTGTCATATTGGATAATTTTCACCGTGGCAACTTTAGTTTTTAAATATAATGTACAAAAAATGAATACATTTTACATAAAATTGTACAGATCACCAGATCTTAGACTAAATAAGAATCTATATCTTTAATATGCATAGGTTACTATCATGTCAAAATAATCCAATAATCCTTGGAGCCTTTAGACTAGGGAGACCGCAAGCAGTAAATCACAAAGTTCACCTATGTGTTGTATTTTAATTTTCAGGGGGAAAAATTCAAGAATGAACTGAATTATTTGTCTATAGTAGCATAGCATTCATGGTAAAAGATATGCCCATGCAAATAATGCAGTGAAGTCAACCAAGATGTTAGCCATGATGTCACATGCACGTCAATTGCTATATGATGCTTTGTTTGATGTTATATTATTTTTTACCTGTAAAATTTCAAATCTTTGCTCTGTCCAGTTTTTGCTGATGTGGAAAAGCCTACTAAGGCTTTCAGTCATGTAGGATGCTCGGTCAGGGTAGTTTTGTAATGAAGATAGAATCTGCTGTTCTGTTGCTTCCCCTGTTATCTGAAACAAATTCAAATTCTTTATGTCAACTACCTAGTACTCTGAGTGTGGAGTTTTACTTTGAAGAGATGGTGGATAGATGAATGCATGGGTGGGTGGGATGGACAGATAGATGAGAGGTTGGAAAGATATTCAATGAATGGGAGCCCTGGTTGACATGAATGTGACGGTGGATAAATAGATGAGTAGATGGATAAATAAATGAATGCATGGGTGGATAAATGGATGGGAAAATGGAAGAGAGGGTAAATAGTTGAGAGTGGGTGGATGGATGGATGGATGGATGGATGGATGGATGGATGGATGGATGGATGGATGGATGGATGGATGGATGGATAAATGGATTGGTGGATGGATGGATGGATGGATGGATGGATGGATGGATGGATGGATGGATGGATGGATGGATGCACAAAAAAAAAAGAAAGAATGAAAGAAAGAACTGCTACCAGTAATTGATTCATACCTCTATATCTTTGGGTAAGAAGTCGGCATATGAAGACCCAGTTTTACAAAGCCCAAGGAAGGTCAGTTTTGGATGACCACTGAGAAACACCTCTAGTGGCCTATCCATCACTCTCTGTGTCCCTGAAATATCTAGCACCTCAAGGTCCTTTAGAGCATCCCTCTGGCTAAGCAACATCTCAAGCTTCTCTGCATCATCTCCGGGTAACATATGGCGTGTCGGTTTCCTGGAAATGTCCAGATGCCTTAAATTCTTAAACTGGGCAAAATCTATAGGGTTATTCCATGCAACAGGGCAATTATATGCCTTCAGAGATTTCAGTCTTTGCCTTGCTGTACCAAATGATTCAACTTCACAAATTGGATTACAGGAAATATTAAGCTCTTCCAACTTTTTCAAGGAATCACAAATCACCTTTAAGTCAGCATCAGTGATGCTGTTTTTACTGATGTCTAGGAATATTAAATTCTTGAATGAGCAGACAGCAGAGGATTCTAACCCATTCTTTGCGCTGCTGATGTTTAGTCTCTTCAAAAAGGAAGTACATTCATATCCTTCAAGAGAGCTTATGACATTTAGAGAAAAGGTGATTTCGGTCCGCCTTAAATCTAAATCAGTGATTGTATGATGCATCAACAGTAGCCTGAGACCAATTTCTCGGATATTTGAGTCCTGAATACAAGCCCTTTTCAATCTGCAAGTCGTTTTGTCTAAAAATAGTGTCAAAACCTTCAAAGTCAGTCTGTTGGTGCTTGCYAACTGTCTGACAATTGCTTCAGCTAGTCGTTCATGTAAAAACACAGGGACCTTGAAAGCCAACTTGTTGAAGTTCCCAACAGGTTCTTGTACTTCAAACGTTAAATTTTCGATGTTTTTACAGATAAAATCCAGACAAATATCTTCTAGTGTCAAAGGAGACAAGGTATTCCATGACTCCGTTGTAAAAGTGCTCGTCATTTTTACGAAATAAAAAAAATAAAAAATCCTTAATTATCCGCCTCTTTTACAAGCAGTCTACAGCCTTAGTTATATTTCTCCTTTTCATTCTTCCTGGACGCATCGCATTTAGTTTTGACTGATATTTTTAAAGAGAAAAAAGACGGAAACAGGTATAAATTTTTTCCCTTATTTTTCGTTTTTATGTTTATAGCTGGGTAGCCCCCCTTTTTCCGAGTAAGGCCCGAAAAGCTTCCGAAAACGTAAAAGTATCATGTCGACCATACGTCGATGCCTCCCGAAAGTTTTTCGACTTTTCAATAATGGCGGTTGTGTGCGTTGTTGTGTTTGATTTATTTTCCTAGTTTGAACCACATAAACTGGTAAATCAATGAACTGAAAACGTTATTTAGACTTTACCTTTTCTCGGAGAAGCTGGCAACTCAATTGAACCTCGAAATGAATTCTATTTTCAAAGACAGTTGTTGACATTGGAACGAAAATGTCGCTTGACAACAAACTAAAATGGAAGCAGTCCTTTCAAAAGTCAAAATCTTTGTCTCAAAGCTCCATAAACGCATCAAGAAAAGCGAGTTTACTTGAAGATGAAACATCAGATCAGGAATTGCAGGATTACTTGGAGAGTTTGAAGAGGAAGTCTGGGATCAGCGGACTTTGGACTGGTGAAAAGTTTGATAAGGTTGTACGTGATGATGAAGATAAGACTCCAGACATATCAATATCTAGCTCAGATAATGAAGGAGGTATGTTAGTATGCATTAGATTGCACGATGGCACGATTCATCAAGTGGTATATGGTCCCACATGATTCCCCAGGAAAGCAAGGAAGGGTATAGGAAGGGCTGGCTGCACCTTTGGAGGTTACAGTATTAATGGGGCTCAAGTAATGACTGAAAGTACCTTGGTGGCTACTCAGGGGGTAGTGGAAGGGATGACTGTACCTTGGTTGTCCCAGGGAGTAAGGGAAGAGGTGAATGATATTAATGATGGTGGGTTCCCATGGGTAGAGGAAGGGATGACTGTACCTTGGTTGTCCCAGGGAGTAAGGAAAGAGGTGAATGATCTTATATGGTGGTGGGTGCCCATGGGTAGAGGGAGGGATGACTGTATCTTGGTTGTCCCATGGAGTAAGGAAAGAGGTGAATGATCTTATATGGTGGTGGGTGCCCATGGGTAGAGGGAGGGATGACTGTATCTTGGTTGTTCCATGGAGTAARGGAAGAGGTGAATGATCTCAATGATGGTGGGTTCCCATGGGTAGAGGAAGGGATGACTGTACCTTGGTTGTCCCAGGGAGTAAGGGAAGAGGTGAATGATCTCAATGATGGTGGGTGCCCATGGGTAGAGGAATAGATGACTGTACCTTGGTTGTCCCAGGGAGTAAGGGAAGAGGTGAATGATCTCAATGATGGTGGGTTCCCATGGGTAGAGGAAGGGATGACTATACCTTGGTTGTCCCATGCCAGGGATTAAGGGAAGGGGCGACTGTTCTTTGACATTGGGTTTATCATCCCATGTGAAGGGAAATAAATAATTTTTTTTCAATAATGTCACTATGGGGCATCATACTCTTGCTTACGTAACTCAATCATAGTTTTAAGCATAATTTGGGGTTATTAATTTTTCAGAGGAAATTCAAAGCTTTCATTCGGATATAAAGCAAGATGATTATTCTGATGATGACTTTAAACCCAACATCGTCATGCTTCCTGAATCATTATCTGATCCCAAGGATGATCTGTCAGATGTCAGTTCTGGAGAGCTGTTTCATGGTGTTCAGTTAGCTAATTTTGACTTGAGTGATGGTGAAACCAAAGAAGAACCAAAATCAACCTCATTGAACAATGAAGATTTATCCAAAAGTGCCTCAATAAGTGAGCCCAAAGACATCAATGCTATCATGAATAACTTACATTTAGCTTCTGAAATTGAAACTGAGGACGAGGTTGCTGAAGAAATTGTGGATGACGTTGATATAGATGAGACTATTCCTCAAACAGTTGACAAAGACTCTACCTACTATAGTTCTTTTCAATCTAGTCCAGAGCCTAATCGCACTGACAGAGAGAGTACTACCCCTTCTGGTAGAAGGTCAAGAAATAGACCTAGGAGTCGAGCAAAGAGTGCTACTAGTGTTGAACAATCATATACCATGGATTTTTCCACTGCTGATGAACCATCAACGATAAGTGAGAAAACAGAGTCTCTTACGCAGAGCTCAAGAAGGTCAAGGTCAAGTCATAGGTCAAGGTCAAGTCGTAGTTCAAGGTCAAGTCATACCTCAAGGTCAAGTCACAGAACTAAGTCATATAGAAGCCACAGTTCTATATCAGATCACAGTTCAGTAAGCTATGATAAACCAAAATCATCTCATGACTCCAAGCAAAGGACAATTAAGGTATAAACAAAATTTGGTCTTCTTCCAATGACACATGATGTGCAAATAAACACACAGCCAATTAACAGATAACAGATCTAATACTGCTTCATACGCAGGCTAATCAATTGTTAAAATTGGTTTCATCTGCATTACCTGTATTTTTCATTAGCACCAAGCTTTCAGCTGATGATGGCTGAGACAGCTTAAAGCTTACCCTTGGTTCTATAGGCTGTCTCACTTCTGTGCCTCTAGTTCACAGGTTTCATTATTGTTTTTTCGTAATAACAAAACGTGTGACCAAGAAGTACTGGAACCTTCTGGAACCCAGGGTACTGAAAGCTCGGTGTTAATAAAAACCAGTTTTAATGTGAATGGGGTATGTTTTTTAAAACAGATAATAGCTAGATTATTTAATGGTAAATTTATTATTTGTCTTTCCCATATATTCCAGGTCATAAGAGATAAAAATAGTCATGTATGTGATATTGGTGTCCAAACTGGCTTTGATATGGATCAAGGATTACGTTTACCATCAGGTACATATAAACTATGTTCACAACGAGATGAGAAACATCTTTCCATACCCCTTTTCCCCCGCTCTCCCCCCAACCCCCCTCCACCTAGTTTTCTAGTTTTCCTCCCTTTTTAAAAATTAACAATTCAAATTATGCCAGGTCTAGGTGTTGGCATGGCAACTAGTGGGCAGAGTATAGGGATGCAGTATGTGGACCCATCTCCCATAGCAACCCATGCAGTATCGGCTGAAGCTCTAGAAGGTAAGTTGGTGATGGTGATGACCATGATGGTGGTTGTTAAATAATGCTGGTGATGATGATGCTGATGATGATGATGGTGATGGTGATGCTGGTGATGACGAGGATGTTGATAATGAATGTGATAATGATGGTTAAGATGATAGGATGATCTTGAGATGATGATGATGGCGTTAATGACGTTAATGATTGAGTTGATGAGGATATTAGTGCAAGTGATGATATACAAAAATGACTAGTTTCAATTTGGTGTCGTCTATTCTTAAGCTGCACAATTACCTATTTTTGTTTCAGCTGTAACCGCCTATAATCCAGCAGTTGTGGCTTTAACTGACATGCTAAAACAACAGATAAGGCTGGTTCAACAGTTTGTAGATGCTAATAACCGCATGTATCAAGCCTACACAACTAGCCTCAACACACAATACCGTTATACCACATTGGAAGATACCTTGGAGGTAGGGAAAAACATACCACTATATTCAAAGTAAGAGGGGCTATCCCTAACCTGGGTTCCAGAGGTCATTTATTCTCGCTATAGAACTTCAGGGCCCGGAGCCTAGATAGCGCTATCCGGTGGATAAATCCTTATCCAGTGGGCAAGTCGATGCTGTTTTCCAATAAATTTATCCACTGCATAAGATTTATCCATCGGATAGCGCTATCCTAGCTTCGTACAACCGGGCCCAGGGTAGACTATCCCTTTCATAACTACAAGCTTAACTACCTTATTTCTGTTATGAAAATTGAATGTCCTGATGATGACATTATTATTATTTAGTTCATAGAGAAAAACAAACCAAGAAGTTTGACATTGAAAGAAGCTTTAAAGGACAACTGACCCTCCAAAATGACCCATTTTTAAGAGGAACTACA